ATCTTTTTAATGCTGACCTGATCCTCGTTGGGTTTGTCCAAACTGGGGTTTTTCCGCTTCCACATCTTGGTAAAATTTCAACTTAGGGTCCACAACAGCACGCGAAATCACCATCCTTCTGTGCTACGGACAACTAGTCAAAACGGTAGGGCATATCGGAGGAAGGAAATAATAATCAAAAAAATAAAGCATACAAAATTGGAAGGTAATAGAAATAATTATTTAAATAACCAAATATATGCGCGCGATAATTAAAACGCGAAATATAACCGATAGGAAAGAAGAAGGCTCAATAGTGCCCAGATGGACACAATCGTCGACTATAACAACTCCATATCATCTACATAGAGTTGATATAGAGTTTAGATGAAGTTGATACAGAGTCGACGATTGTGTCCAATTGGGCACTATTGAACCATTTTAATTATTGCGCGCAAATATTCGGTTTCTTAACTAAGCTGTAGTGGACCCTAAATTAGACCTACACCCACATCTTCACGTCGATCTTAACCTATCGTTATTTTGATCTGTCTTCTATTCTCCCCCTCCGTGGTCAGCAGCTAGCGTCTGTCTACTATATGTTTTGTTTCTCAATTGGCAGCCGAGTCGTCTGGTCTACATCTTTTGGGAGTTGACCGGGGACCTCTCAGTGCTGGACTTTTACCGACAGTCGATGCGCTCCCTCAAACCGCTATCAAGTCTGCCACAGGCCGCTGGAGCGCGCGTGCACTGCGGTTGCGCCTGGGTCAACCATCGTCTCTACGTCTGCGGTGGTTTTCGCCACTTTGTGGGCGCGGACAGGCGTCCAACTGCAGCGCGGGACGACTTGCATTGCTATGATCCTCTTACAGATACCTGGTAGGTACCCCCCGTTCCTGTTCTTCCGTTACGCCTGGCACGACATCGATGGGTAAGGACTGTTAGGACGGCCTAACGAACAGCCTTAGCAAGCAGTAGCTTGCAGGCCATAGCTGCACTCCAAGCAGGCTATCGATCGGCCTACACGGGCGAATGTACACAGGCCG